CTCCAAGATGTAAAAAAACACTTATAATGAATAGTCTGGTGCTGTACTGAGTGAATGAAGAACCTTCTGAAAAGTAATTAAGAAGGTTGGCCTTGCTGTCCTCGTGTCGGATCGGAATGGGAAGGAAAAAGAATGGTGACCACGAGGATGTGCTGGGAGGTTGCTCTGAAACTCTGCAGCTTCTTTCTTCTCCCCCATTTCATTCTCATAAGCCAAAGTGCTTGTGTCTGACGAGTTTGAAAATGCTTGGAAAATGCCAGTGACGTCACTTTCTCAAGGAGAATTAAGGGTGAAGAGTGGTGGAGAGATGAGGAAAGCGGATACAGTAACAAGAAGCAGTGAGCTCAATTGATAGGGCATTTTTTGTACAAGGTTTTCAATTAAGATCCATGTCAAAATTATCTTAATTCTCACCAGGAGGTCTCTCTTGCCTTTATACTTGGCTTTGTAGGGCTCAGCATCTGGAATTTTGAGGTGGTCTTTGTTAGTTCATGGTTGATATACAAGAATTTGCCTGAAGTTTTTTCACTGAATTTCACTGAATTTTTAGAGTTGGAAGGGACCATAGAGATCATCTAGTCCAACTCCCCTGCCAAAGCAGGACCACCCAGAGCTTGTCAGAGCATGTTACTCAGGAGCATCCAGGTGGGTCTTGAAAATCTCCAGAGAAGGGGCCTCCACACCCTCCCTGGGCAGCCTGTTCCAGGGCTCTGCCACCCTCACCGTGAAAAAGTTCTTCCTCATATTTGAGTGGAACCCTTTATGTTCCAACTTGTGCCCATTGCCCCTTGTCCTCTCACTGGGAACCACTGAAAAGAGTCTGGTTCCCTCCTCCCTCAGCCCGCCCTTGAGATACTTGTAGGCATTGATAAGGTCTCCCCTCAGCCTTCTCTTCTCCAGACTAAAGAGTCCCAGCTCTCTCAGTCTCTCCTCATAAGGGAGATGCTCCAGTCCTTGAATCATCTTTGTAGCCCTACGCTGGACTCTTTCCAGTAGTTCCCTGTCCCTCTTGAACTGGGGAGCCCAGAACTGGACGCAGTACTCTAGTTGTGGCCTCACCAGTGCAGAGTAGAGGAGGAGAATGACTTCCTTGACCTGCTGGCCACACTCTTCCCTATGCAGCCCAGGATTCCGTTGGCCCTCCTGGCCACAAGAGCACACTGTTTGCTCATTGTCATTTTGTTTTCAGCGAGGGTGGAAAGCTCAGGGTAACGACAGAAGGTATGGAAACCTAGAGGGGGATACTGAGCTTTATTACTTTGAAATTGTTGGCTAAAATCAGTCTTCCCAGACCCATATCCTTGTCTCGCTCCATATTTCAGCAGATGCCCACAGAGCGGTGTTGCTCATGGTGAAAAAGGTGTGAGGTGGTTTTGAGGAAGATGATGGAAATGGTGAAGGAAAGCAGCTTATAGAATCATAGAATGGTTTGGGTTGGAAGGGACCTCAAAGATCATCAAGGTCCAACCCCCCTGCCGTGGGCAGGGACACCTCCCACCAGAGCACGTTGCTCCAAGCCCCCTCCAACCTGGCCTTGAACCCCTCCAGGGATGGGGCAGCCACAGCTTCTCGGGGCAACCTGGGCCAGGCTCTCACCACCCTCACACCAAACGAGTTCTTCCCCGCATCTCATCTCCATCTCCCCTCTTTCAGGGTCAAACTCTTCCCCCTCCTCCTAGGGCTCCCCTCCCTCATCCAGAGTCCCTCCCCATCTCTCCTGGAGCCCCTTGAAGGACTGGAAGGGGCTCCAAGATCTCCCCGGAGCCTTCTCTTCTCCAGGCTGAACTCCCCCAACTCTCTCAGCCTGTCCTCCCAGCAGAGGGGCTCCAGCCCTCCCAGCATCTCCGGGGCCTCCTCTGGCCCCACTCCAACAGGTCCATGTCTCTCCTGTGCTGAGGACCATCTCTGTGGCTCTCCTCATTTCATTTTCTTAGGCACATCCTTGCCTCTCCTTGCCCAAGGATTCTTCCAGAAAAGCCAGGCTTAAATCTCTGAGTTCCTACCACTTGCTGTTTAGCTCTCTCAAAGCCTCAGCAATAAAGAGTAAACCAAAAAACATCTGCGAAGCAAAATAATCTTAAAAATAAGCAATCTATCCAGCCTGGCCTTTAACCCCTCCAGGGATGGGGCATCCACAACTTTCCTGGGCAACCTGTTCCAGTGTCTCACCACCCTCATAGTAAAAAATTTCTTCCTGAGATCTAATCTGAATCTTTTTTCTTCCAATTTAAAACCGTTTCCCCTTGTCCTATCATTACCCTTCCTGGCAAAGAGTCCTTCTCCAGCTCTTCTATAGGCACCCTTCAGGTATTGAAAGGCCGCTATAAGCTCCCCAGAGCCTTCTCTTCTCCAGGCAGCTTTGCTGCCTTCTACCTGCTTGTCCTCTCCTCATGTAGCATCTCTTCAGTCGGAAACAACCAGTGGTGACAGCAGAAGTCAGACCCCGAGGAGCACAGTGTGTTTGTGACCCTGTGGAGGTCACAGCCACACCTGAGACCTGGGGGTTTCTTCATGATCAGCTTGGAGGGTGCTTGTCAAGATAGCAAAGTTGTTTTGGGTGTCTTCCCGGCATCGTTTGGACTGATCTGCAAAGCTGGTGGTACCTACGTTCGTAATATAAACACTCTGAGAGTGGCTTGGCTCAGTTTTCTCCAGAAAGTGGGTTAAAAATAAGCAATCTATCCAGCCTGGCCTTTAACCCCTCCAGGGATGGGGCATCCACAACTTCCCTGGGCAACCTGTTCCAGTGTCTCACCACCCTCATAGTAAAAAATTTCTTCCTGAGATCTAATCTGAATCTTTTTTCTTCCAATTTAAAACCGTTTCCCCTTGTCCTATCATTACCCTTCCTGGCAAAGAGTCCTTCTCCAGCTCTTCTATAGGCACCCTTCAGGTATTGAAAGGCCGCTATAAGCTCCCCAGAGCCTTCTCTTCTCCAGGCAGCTTTGCTGCCTTCTACCTGCTTGTCCTCTCCTCATGTAGCATCTCTTCAGTCGGAAACAACCAGTGGTGACAGCAAAAGTCAGACCCCGAGGAGCACAGTGTGTTTGTGACCCTCTGGAGGTCACAGCCACACCTGAGACCTGGGGGTTTCTTCATGATCAGCTTGGAGGGTGCTTGTCAAGATGACAAAGTCATCTTGGGTGTCTTCTCGGCATCGTTTGGACTGAGATGCAAAGCTGGTGGTACCTACGTTTGTAATATAAACAGTCTGAGAGTGGCTTGGCTCAGTTTTCTCTGGAAAGTGGGTCACTGGGAATAAGTGGTTTAGCTTTGGGTCATTTGAGGAGAGGACTGAAAACGATGTTTGATGTTGTCAGGAGAACACAGTAAGGCTGACGTCAGGCCGGGTGTTTTGGGACTCCTGAGGTGCTGTCACCCAAGGAGGGTGATTTTAACACACTGATGGGTGGGGATGTTAAACATCTTGGTGTCCTGGAGGCCTGACAAGAAATATAGACTGGTCACAATGTCTGTCACGGTGTAAAAATATTAACAGAGTCTTTGTCAGATGTTTATATCTGGGTACGTGCTGAGGGCATCAGCATGGGATCCAAACTCTAGGCTGTTCTTCAGAGGTAAGAAGCAATTAGGTGATAATTGGATAAAGCTGGTGAATAGTAAAGGGTGGTGTCTGTCCTTCCTTCCATCCATCTGATCTGTCCTGTCCTCCCCTCCCCTCCTGCTGCGCACACGCTTGTGGAAAAAAGAATATTACTGTTGAAATATAATGTTGAATTTGGGTGGTTCCTACCGACTGAACACAGCAGCTTCTGGGAGGAATTCCTCAGCTGAAGGACAGGAACTGTCTGTTCCTGTGCAGGAGAAGACAAACTATTGTGGGCTCAGGAAATTCCAAGTGAATTCTTGTGCATGAACAGTGGGTAAATCCATGTGGTCCTTGCCCAAGGGGTTGGGGAAAAGCCGGGTGGTGGCAACCTCAAGTCTGAGCTGCAGGGGCAAAGGTAGGAAATGCAGGAGAGGGAATTGGTCCCGTTTCGTCTCATCTCTCAACCTCCTTCGAGTGGAATAAAGCTTTGAAGAGAGTTTGGAGCTAAGACCTTGCTGGGAAACGGGAGACAGTGGCCAAGTGAGAAGTAGAACAACTGCTTTGGGATTGTAGGTGTGTTTGACACATCTTCCTGTTCTGTGTATCAGACCCTTTATAACCATTTTATACATGATGGAGTGAGGTCCCATCTGGAGCACTGGGACCAGTTCTGGGCTCCCCAGTTCAAGAAGGACAGGGAACTGCTGGAGAGGGGACAGCAGTATGGCAGAAAATAGTACATAGCCTCTTTAAGGAGTTGTTCAAACAGCTAGCAAACAAAGTAACAACATACCAGTAGAAAACTGATCTAGAATTGCCTAATAGGGGAACAGCTTTAATTGAGGAAAGCTGGCAAGACGAACACTTGAATATGAGAGGTTCCACCTAAACATGACGAGGAACTTCTTTCCTGTGAGGGTGGCAGAGCCCTGGAAGAGGCTGCCCAGGGAGGTGGTGGAGTCTCCTTTTCTGGAGGCATTCAAAACACACCTGGCCACATTCCTGTGCAACCTGCTTTAGGTGACCCTGCTCGGGCAGGGGCGTTGGACTGGATGATCTCCAGAGGACCCTTCCAACCCCATGTGATTCTGTGGGTACCAAAATCTGAGGGCATTCAGAAAAGGATGGGGCAAATTCCTGGGAGGTGGAAATGCCGGATTCCAAACCCAGCGTATTTGCAGAGAAGGTGACAGAAGGTTTGCAGCTCGTAGCCAGTAACATTTGATCTTCAATAACAACAACAAAAAAAATAAAAATGCCGTTTGCCATTTCCTGAGAATAAAGGTTATATTTGGTGTCAGGCTTTTTGGTGGAAGCAGAGTAAATAGTACCCAAGGATGTATCGAATCATTGTTTGAACTGGATCAACTGGGGGTTGCCACTCTTTTTAAAGTCTGATTGTTTTGATCTGTTCCCTCTGTGATTTTCTTTATTTTATTCTCTTTTTTTGCAGCTTTTCCGACGCGTGGCAGCTGCCTTGCCTGGAATGGAAAGCACACAAGACAAAAGTAGAGAAGACAGTATCCTTTATGCGTTTGTGCTGCCGGTTGGGCGGTGGCAAAGCGCTGCCAGGCGTCACCGTGGACGAGGAAAATGCAGGAGCTGAATAACAAGGGTGAAGAAGGGAAGGAGGAACATCTGGGCACCTCAATCCAAGAGAGATCTCGAGGTGCTGGAGCGAGTGCAGAGGAGGGCAACGAAACTAGTGAAGGGCCTAGAAGATAAATCATATGAAGAGCGGCTGAAGGAGCTGGGGCTGTTTAGTATGAGGAAGAGGAGGCTGAAGGGAGACCTCATCACTCTCTAAAACTACTTGAAAGGACACTGTAGAGAGGTTGGGGCTGGTCTCTTCTCACAGGTAATTAACGACAGAACGAGAGGGAACGGCTTCAAGCTCCAACAGGGTGGGTTTAGATTGAACTTTAGGAAGGAATTTTTCACAGAAAGAGTGGTCGGGCATTGGAACAGGCTGCCCAGGGAGGTGGTGGAGACACCATCCCTGGATGTGTTTAAGGGATGTTTAGATGTGGTACTGAGGGATATGGTGTAGGGGAGGACTTTGTAGAGTAGGGGAGATGGTTGGACTCGATGATCCCAAGGGTCTCTTCCAACCTCAATGATTCTATGATTCTATGATTCTATGATCTCTCCTGCAGCCCTTGGTCAGCTTATGGACATCCCAAAAAGCGGCCTGAGAGAGGGGGAATAAGGAGAAGTAGCCTTGGAGCTTGAAATAGAGGTAGAAAGCTTGGTGGGATAGAAGGCTGGGACTATATTTCATATTATCAAGAAGTTTTTCACTCTGAGGGTGGTGAGACCCTGGCCTGGGTTGCTCAGAGAAGCTGTGGCTGCTCCATCCCTGGAGGTGTTTAGGATCTCCAGGGACTTGGAGCAACTTGGTCTAGTGGGAGGTGTCCCTGCCCATAGCAGGGCCTTGGAGCTGGATGATCCTGTGAGGGTGGTGGAGCACTGGAACAGGTTGCCCAGGGAGGTGGTTGAGGCCCCTTCCCTGGAGATATTCAAGGTGAGGCTCGATTAGGCCCTGGGCAACCTGGTCTAGTTGGGGGTGTCCCTGCTGACTGCGGGGAGGTGGGACTAGATGACCTTTGGAGGTCCCTTCTGGCCTGGGCAATTCTATGATTCTATGATCTTTAAGGTCCATTCCAACCCAACCCATTCCATGATTCTATATGACATGGGGTATCAAAGGTGGGAAAGCAGGAGAAGCAGGGGATGCTTGGGGCTATGAGGTGGTATAAAAGGGAGGACAACTGAGTGAAAGCTGAAGGGAGGAGAATGGGAAGGTGCAGAAGGCTTCAAGCAGATCCAGAAGGATTCTTCTCTTGGTGTTTGAGCAGATTCGATGTGGGGAGGGAGGGGGAGACTATGGAGTGGGAGAAAACATCTTCAAAGATGCCCGAAAAAAAAGACTCTGTGGCTCTTGCAGATGTGATTTGCAGAATCCTGGAAGAAGCAAGGTTGGAAGGGACCTCTGTAGGTCCCTTCTCCAACCCTCCTGCTCGAAGCAGGGCTAACTTCAAAATCAGACCAGTTTCTCAGGGTCCTGTTGAGGGAAACTTCAGAAATCTCCCAAGGATGGAGATCACATAATGTCCCCGGGCAGCCTCTTGCAGTGCCTGACCACAGACAGCTCTGGGCCAACGAGGAAAGTGGTGCGAGGGAGAGGACTAAACTGAAGGGACCAGCCTTGGGGAACCTGGACTGGGCACTGGTGAGGTCCCACCTCGAGGGCTGGGTCCAGTTTTGGGCACCTCACCACAAAAAAAGACCTTGAGGGGCTGGAGCATGTCCAGGGAAGGAAAATGTAGCTGGTGAGGGGTCTGGAGCACAAGTCTGGTTAGGAGCATCTGAGGGAGCTGGGGGTGTTGAGCCTGGAGAAAAGGAGGCTGAGGGGAGACCTTCTGGCTCTCTCCAACTCCCTGAAAGGAGGGTGTAGCCAGGGGAGGTCGGTCTCTTCTGCCAAGGAACAGGCCATGGGACAAGAGGAAACGGCCTCGAGTTGGGCCAGGGGAGGTTTAGGATGGATATCAAGAAAAATTTCTTCCCCAAAAGGGGTCATCAAGACTTGGCAGAGGCTGCCCAGGGCAGTGGTGGAGTCCCCATCCTTGGAGGTATTGAAAAGCCGGGCAGACGCGGTGCTGAGGGACATGGGTCAATGGTGGGTTTGTCAGTGTTGGGTTGATGGTTGGACTCCATGATCTGAAAGGTCCCTTCCAACCTGGACAATTCTATGACTCGAAAACTCTAGGAGTGGTGGTGGTTGCTCAGTGTAGCTCTGAAGGTGAAAGAAGTTCTGTGATAACTGAGAGGGCTCTTGCCTCTGCCCTCAGCTTCTCCTGCAACAGGAGTGGATGGACAAAGAGGGGAGGAAATCACAGTGGGTACTTTCAGGAAGGAGCCAGGAGGGGTTGCGTTGCATCTTGATTGAAAGAGTCGACGAGATGTTGGAAGTGAGCGAGCATTTTTGAGAAGAGGAACCTTTTCAGGGTTGTGGGTCTCATTTGGAGTGGGGATCACGGAGCTGGTAAATGGAGAAGAAACGGTGTTTGGGGGGCAGGAGCTGCAGGAGGGGGACAATCTTGGGCTGTAGGAGGGGGACAAGTCTTAGTGCCTAAGGAGGATTTGGGAAGCTGTGGATCCCAACTGCTGAGGCACGAGCTTTGCGCGAGACGGACTCGATTGATCAAGAACATTCCCCTTATGAGGGTCACCAAAAGGTTAATGAGCAACAATCTTTATTAATGAGAGGAGGCTGCTGGGGCTGCGGTTTCCCTATCGGGGAGTTGGATCGCTGCTCTCTAAATGGGAGCACGATGAGGACACTTTGGATTTGGCTTCCTGCAGACTGGAGATAGCAGGGATTGCGTGTGATTGTCTCCCAGACGGCGGCGCTGGGATTAATGGGGATGGGGGGGTGAGGGGGGGAAGCATTTTTTGGCTTTTTTTTGCAGAACATTGAGGGTTTGAGGATCTTGAGCTGCTCGTGCTCGGTGATGGAGCTGGTGAGGCTCATTTTGAGCATCTCTGACTCTTAAGCGTGTATTTAGATTGAGATCAACAAAACAAACAGACCAAATATGAATTACTGGCTTTTTTTCTTTCCCTTTTTGTGTTTGTTTTCTCCTAAGCTCCGTAAAAAGCAACTTCAACCCCCCCTGGAGGAATAAGTTAGAGGAACCGTTGGTGTGACCTCTGTCTCGGTGTTAAATGATAAGAGAAACGCTCGAGACGTGAGTTGGGGATTGATGTTCAAAGCTCCTCTTGTGAAAGCGTTGGAGCTGGAGGGCATGGGCTGGGAATTCGAGGCTGGTTGGGAGCAGCAACCTCTCCAGCGACCTTGTGTTCTTGTTGGGTGGTAGTTCTCCTTGTGAGGGGTGAGTTTTGGGGGGTGGGGACACGGCAGGGGGTTTGTTGTGGGGTTTAACGAGAGGAAGGGTTGATGGGAGAGTTCAGGATGGTGAGTACAGAACATCATGTGGTGTGAGTGCTCAGGGGTTGGTGATGCTCATGGCATTGAGAAGGATGCCCAGGAGCCAGCAGTGTGACCTGGTGGCCAAGAAGGCTGATGGTCTCCTGGGGGGCATCAGGAAGAGTGTGGGAGGAGGTAGAGGGAGGTCATCCTGCCCCTCTGCTCTGCCCTGGGGAGGCCCCAGCTGGAGCACTGGGACCAGTTGTGGGCTCCCCAGTTCCAGAAGGACAGGGAACTGCTGGAGAGGGGACAGCAGAGGCTACA